CCAATCCACCTGTTTAACATAGTCCTGTAGGGTTGACACATTCAACCGTTTGAAATTCCAGCGCGTGTTGTTGGTGGGATATCTTAGTTCCGTTTTGCTGACAAAACTGAAGGCTATAACGGCGTGATCGCTTTTTCCCAGGGGAGCCAGAATTGAGAGGTTGTCAACTAGAAATTCTTCGTTTGTAAATACGCGGTCTAAATGCGACTGTGTCTAACTGTTTCTCCAACGAGTTGCCCACTTCACACTTTCGTATAATCCCAAATCCTCAATGAGTTTGAAGAACCGAGCTTCAGCTGAGTTTTCACCTCCAATGTACGTATGTTCCGCGAAATTGGCTCTAGAGAGATTGAAGTCCCTCAGAATCAGGATATGAGTGAAGCTGAGACGCGTAGGGCGGGATAGTCCTTTGAGCATACGACTGTCATACTTGATATCGGCAGTTGGCTTCCTATATATGACTCCGACTAGGCACCTCGAAGTAGTAGATAATCTTACAGAGCACCATACGGATACATTAAGATTGATAAAATCTAGGTTGTGGACTTGATGTGCCTCCAGGCAGGATCGTGCGTATAAGGCCACTCCACACCCAATTCCTGTTTTTTTTTCATTGTGAGACAGAGACATCCCGGATATTGGTAGCTCCTGGTCCATAACGCCATAAGCTATCCAAGATTCAGATATTCCTATTACATGAGCACTAGTAGCATTGCTAAGTTCACGTAGCTCATCCATTTTATTTGGTAAATTCGGGGCGACCATGTATAAGCAGTTAATGCTTTCAATTTGAAACGCGTGAGCTTCTACTTCCAGTTTGTCTTTATGAGCAATATGTGAATGGACAGATGGCCTACTTATATAAGGTTCGCCGGGTTGGTAGGCCCTGTCCTTTACACGTTTTTTTTAATCATCAAGACAGTCCACAAGTGAAATGATCAGCTCCAACTTGCCTTTGTGCTCGGTCCTGGCTTCATATGGCCTGTCCGGGTGCATGTAGATTCCAGTTGGCAACCGACGTCTGAGAATGAGCGATCGCGTGGGTTTAGGGGCAGAATTAGGTTGCAATACCTGTTTAGTTCACTAGGACCCAACTTTCTAAGCAGCAAGCGGACCTCCCAAGTATCATCCTGATTAGCAAAGTCAAATTTGAATAAGTCTTCGTAACGTCGAAACCACATATCAAACGTGACAATGGATTCCGGATCGTGATAAAACTCGGAGATACTGTTAAGGATACCATCAACTGGTGGCGCAGTAGCAGTAGGATTAGAACTGCTTGGTTGAGTATTAGACATAAGTTTTGTATCTGCTAACACCCGGATACGTTTCGTCTGCTGCTAGAGTAATAATTCAAGTTTAGAAGGATCCGTGTTTCCGAAGCCACCGTCGCCAAATTTGCTAGGTTTGGAGCTATCACGAGTTCACTTAATCTGCCAACGAGAAACAAGACTCGGTGACTAAAGACCAGTAAGCTAGCTATTGATGCGTCCCAGCCCCGCTAGGTAGAGGGAGAAGACCAAGCTTGGAATGGGGAAATATATTCCGCAAACAGCCAGAAACGAGCGATCACAACAAACACAATTTAAAATGTATATATACGACGCAAAACGTCCTTGGAGAGTTACCAAATGGCATACTGAAAGATGCAACTAACCAATAGCATTTAAGATAATTCTCAGTGAGAACTACGACATGAAGGTGACAAGAGCGCCTTTGGCACGAAAACAAAGAAATTCAAATTTTCTAAATCAAATTACAAAATTAGGTCCTTTCCCAAATGAGTTCTGGGGATTTAACGTCACCAACAGTTCTCCCAATGCAGCTTCTAGACTATGGCGTATATATAGGCCAACATCAGCTTCTACAATTTTGACTGTCAGCAAAAGCAGTTGATTGTGGAGTTAGCTGGTTCGAAACCAGTCCTGAGCCTAGAAACTACAGTTTCGAACGAAAAATGTCGACCATCCTTATTGACGACACTATAATCTCTTAATCTTTTCGTTACTCTGCGTGTTACAGGAAAGAATTAAATAACTTCGAATATCCTATTTATATAAAATAATTTCCATGACAGTGATGGGTTTCGATTTCAGAATGTTGCGAATCTCTAATGGCCAAATCTTTCCGCACGAAGCCAGTATTCCGCTGCCAATATATCTATATATCATCTATTTGATAGTACTGTAATTCTGCGACTTAGTGCGTTATTTTACCACACAAAATATTTTATTAGACATTTAAGCGTTAAACATGAAAGTTTGCATGAGATCACTAACTTCAGTGCTTATTTTGACGATTTCAACAAGTATGACGATAACACACAAGGATCCGGGAAAACAGCTCGAGCTAGTTTTTATACCTTATCAGCCACGTCACCTCATATTTTAAAGTACCCCACCTTGCTTCATATGACCCTGAAAGGCTAAAGCGTCGGTGAAAACTCTATAATTGTCTCAAATTATGTCTAATTTTGAACTGAGGTCTATTGTTGCCTCGTCGTTGGTAGATTTAGTGCTACGTACATCAAATGGATAGGACTCATGCTTCAGGTGGATGCTTTGACTGCAGCTTGCTGTAACCAGTAATACGGCGCGCACTTCTCTAATGCGTCGCAAAACCAACAAATATTGACTTGTAACATAAACCATCATTGCTGTTCCTCATCTTTACACATTGCTGTCATGGCGTCACTAGCATTTGGTAGCTGCCTCCACAAACAAACAGTGATCACATTGTACTGCACCTTAGGTCTTGGACTCATAAGATCCTGCATGTATCTGGTCCACCCAGTCCCAATATTTTGCAGGTTTTCGTTTTGGCAGTACGAAACCGTGCTTTTTCTAAAGATTCGTCGTCCAATATAAATGGGTCAGTTGAAGGCGAATAGAATAAGTTTAAAGCTATATTTGAGTCTGTATCATTATTATTAATTTCTTGTTCAACACGTAAGATATCTTATTGTCCTCCATGGATGGAAAAGGAAATCTGAAAGCGAATGAGGCGTAGAAAACATTTCTGGGACGTGTTATTATTAACATGCCACGAGTCACTTGAGTATGAACACCGGAAATCTGGAATATGTGTATAAACACTATGAATAGATGCCACAACACTTACGAAGGATAGTTGGGATATAAAACAGGTTTCAATAATAATATAATGGTATATTTCTTCCTGAGCAGGCACATGTCATTTTCACAGAAACGATCTATAATTCACAACAATAGTTTGTACATAAAATGCTTCCTACCAGGGGTGGATAAATAGATGAAGTCAATAAAAATAGAAGGCAGTACATTCGGGCAGATATCCCACAGAGTTAACCAGTTCCAGTTTGGGGGAGGACAGGATATTAGATGGCCTGTATTAGTCCTGGTGATGATGGTCCTTCAGTTGATCCAACTTTCTTTCGCGGTGGTCGACAGGTGGAGCTCCAATCATGTGCTAAGGTAATGAATTCCACCCGTTGATAATTCGGTGGGAAAGTCGATAGTTAGCTAACTAATAATTTGTTTTGGGCTTATGAACTTTTATGGAGTGTCCTCGTAAATTCTCTGTTTTAGGAGACAAAAATGAGGCATATCATGTGCAAATTTATCACTAAGTAATTTGAAAGTTGTAATCAAGTCACCCTTGGTTTTACTATATGACAACGGGAATAGGTTTAGTTTGGCCAGTCGATCATCATATGGGAGCTTCGCTTTTCAGGGAATCGGCTTAGTTGCTGTTCTCTGGATCCTCTCCAAAAGCTCACTGTTTTTTGTAAGTAGGGGCTAGCCCCCTGTATGAGGTACTCAAGTTTAGAACGCGCGAATACTGTATAAAAACTCAAAAAAGTTTTAGCGTCGACACGATTTAAGGCCCTACGTATTGACCATAGGGTTTTGAAACATTTGGTTGCTATTGCACGGCAACGTGCAGTAGTTTTTAGGACTTGGCTAACGATGACCCCTACGTCATTGTAGCTCAATGTTTTCCATCATGTATGTATCGCAACTTGATGACAGATATGCATCACAGTAAACTTGGAAGTATTAATCGGCAACTGCCAGGTTTGAGACCATTCAGATAATTTCTCCAGGTCATTTTGAAGTTCTTAGCTATCACCCTCACCCCGTATTGCTCTCCATATCTTGACATCGTCAGCATACAGCAAGACTGATGATGACATTAGATGAAGGAGGCCATTCACACAGAAGAGGAATAACACTGGCCCCAAAACTGCACCCTGAGGCACTCTGCTAAGCACAGTTTCCCAGCTAGACAACTTAAGTTTACCCGTACTCTTTGTTGGCGCCCAACTAAGAAGTCTTGTCCATATTAATAGATTACCTTCAACCCCGACATTTCTTAACTTACATAACAGCCGGTTGTGCGGAACTTTGTCAAAAGCTTTTCTGAAGTTAATGCAGGCTACGTCTATAGGTAACTCTTGGTCCTTAAGGACGCACCAGCTTTCATGAGTCACTAACAAGTTTGTGAGACAGGAATAACGTATTCTAAAACCATGCTGTTCCTCCGATCCGGCTTTCGTCGAAGGTATTTAAACAACCCCTTGTCTAAAATTTTAACAAAAACGCTCGTTAGCCTAGCGGGTCGATAGTTCTCAGGTTTGTTTCCTTCCAGTACTAAAGGCAGAACTTACTATGGTGTTGAAGATGCCACAGGTGTTCAGAGTTTGACAACGCTTTAACCAGTAACACCTTCTAATATGAAGCGTACCCACCATACGAAATCAAAAGACAGAAGCGAGGAAGTTCGAAGATATATTTGATATGCTATCAATATATTGAGAATAGTCTGATCTAATCTGGCTGGTGATTGCAGGGGTTTTTGAGCACGGCGTTCCCACTCGTGATCTGGTGCGGATGCATGGTCGAGCGCTTTCAGCTAAGCGAGTCCATTAAAACATGTGGTCAGCATCCAATGTCGAAAACTTACAGAGCTATTTATTTTAGGGATTTATTTACCGCTACAGCGTTCTTAGTTAGGTTTATGTCACAGTATCTCACTATCAGTGCAGTTTTTACAATCACTTTCAAAAATGATATCGCGTTCATGTTATACACCAGGTCAGATCATTCCAAGACGTTTGTAGTCGTTGTAGAGTAATTATAAGGAGCGCTTAGTATGAGCTGTGACCATGAAGAGCGCGGGCAGCGCTTCAGGGGTAATAGTATAACTTATTTCTGCTTTGCGCACAGCCCAAAATCGAAATTAATTATAAGTAAATTTGAAGGTTTGTTCCCCGTCCTCACAATTAAGTGAAAAAGGGAACGCGTAAGTTAAATTTGTTACAGGCGTAAAATGCTCCGGAGAAACCATAATTTATTAAGCTCCATTGAGCATGTGGGGAACTCCGAATTGGTCCATAAAGCAACTTAGGAAAGATATAAGTTGGGGAAGCGTTTGACCCAACCGGATGTCTTACTAACGACTGTTACTCCCAATGGAGCATAGGCCACCGACCGGCATCCGACAACCCACTCTGTCCTGGGCCTTTCTTTCTAGTTCTATCCACTTTTCGTTCATGTTTCTCATGTCTGTCACCATTTATCGACGTAATGTGTTCTTTGGTCTTTTTCTTCTCCTTTGGCCTTGAGGATTCCATGTGAGGACTTGCCTTGTGACATAGTTGAGTGCTTTCCTCCATGTGTGTCCTATCCACTTACAGCACTTCTTCCTGATTTCTCCCTCCTCTGAAATCTGGTTTGTTCTCTCCCACAGTAGTTTGTTGGTGATAGTGTCTGACCAACGGATCTGAAGTATCTTGTGTAGACAACTGTTAATAAACACTTGTATCTTCTGGATGATGTCTTTCGCAGTTCTCCAGGTTTCCGCCCCATACAGTAGAACTGTCTTGACATATGTATTGATAATTCTGACCTTGGTGTTGATTGACAGTTGTTTCGAGTTTCAGATGTTCTTCAGTTGTAGATATACTGCTCTTGCCTTTCCGACCCGCGCCTTCACATCTGCATCAGATCCACCGTGTTAATCAATGATGCTGCCCAGATATGTAAAGGTTTTTACATCTCCCAAATCTTCGTCAAGTGTTATTCGATTGTTTCGTGCTGTGTTGTATCGGATAATCTTGCTTTTCCCTTTGCGTATGTTGAGACCTACTACTGCTGAGACTGCTGCTACACTGGTCGTCTTCTGCACTTTTTTGCGTTTGCGATAGAAGAGCTAGATCATCTGCGAAGTCTAGATCGTCCAGTTGCATCCTAGATGTCCAATGTATCCCGTGCTTCTCCCCAAGTGTGACATCTTCATGATCCAGTCGATCACCGGGAGAAAGAGAAAGGGTGAGAGTAAGCAACCTTGCCTAACACCGGTCTTCACCTCGAACGAGTTTGTCAACTGTCCTCCATGCACGATTTTGCAGTTTAATCCATCGAAGGAATTCTGTATGATATTGACTATCTTCTGAGGCACGCCGTAGTGTCGAAGAAGCCTCCATAGTGTTGTCCTGTTCACGCTATCAAGTGCTTTCTCGTAGTCAATGAAGTCGGTGTAGAGTGGTGAATTCCATTCAGTTGATTGTTCCACAATGATCCGTAGAGTTGCGATTCAGTCTGTACACGATCGATCTTTACGAAATCCAGCTTGTCGGTCTCGAAACCGGATGTCTACTAGCAACCTATTCCAGAGGCTTGCATAGCGTGTTACAAAGGAAGTTGACTTCAATGTGCTTGATGTTCTCGATATCTTTAGTAAAAAAAGGTAGATAACTACGTAGGAATAAGCAATATTTGATTGCTTACTTACACATAGAGAAGCAAATACCACCCACTAGCATTCTCCATCCAACTCTTTCCTCGACAATTGTTTCCAGTTACTGTTCGTGTTGTTGATATCTGCTTCCAATTCTCCACGCAATATGTTGTTTGGCCTTCCTCTTTCCCGTTCTCCTTCAGGATTCCAAGTTGGCGCTCACTTTGTGATGCAGTCTGATGATTTCTGTAATGTACTATCCACCTGCCAACGTCTTTTCCTAATTTCCTCCTCAGCTAGAACCTGGTTTGTTCTCCTAGCGTAGGGCTGTTGCTGGCGGTATTCGGTCAACAGCGGACATTGAGTATCTTGCTTAGATAACCCTTTATAAATACTTGTACGTTTTTGCTGGTAGCTGTAGTAGTTCTGGAAGTTTCGGCTCGATACAATAGAACTGTATTGACGTTCCTATTGAAAATTCTGACCTTGATAATAGCTTTTAGTCAGTTGTTTTGAGTTCCATAAGTTCGTCACCTGGATTTGTTGATGTGTATGGGATAGAAGGGCTAGGTCATCTGCGAAGTCCGAGTCTAGTTGCATGCAATCTGTCCATTGTATTCTGTTCTTACCCTCAGATGTGTAGGTCTTCATAATTCAGCCAACCACCAGAAGAAATAGGAAGTGGGGTAGTAGGCAACCCTATCTGTCACCGGTCCTCACTTCTAGTGGGTCTGTCAGTAGTCCTCCATCCGCCACTTTACAGTTTAGTCCATCGTATGAATTCGGTATAATGTTGACGATTTTCTTAGCTACTCAATCCATAGTGTCGAAGAAGGTCCCATAATGTCCTATCCCACTGTCAAACGCCTCATTGTCAAGGAATTTGATATATGGTGACGAGTACCATCCAACTGATTGTTCAACAATAATCCATAGTGCCGCGATTTGATCAGTGCACGACCGATCTTTTCGGAATCCGGTATGTTTTACCCGAAGTTGGGTGTCTACTGAATCTTTCATCCGGTTCAGCAACACTGTTGAAAAAGTTTCCTGGTACTGATAGTAGTATGATGCTTCTGTAGTTCTCACATTTGCTCAAATCTCTTTTCTCTGGTATATCGACGAGGTATTCTCCTTTCCAGTCTGTCTGTCTTCTTGAATAGAACTTGGAGCATGTTTGCAGTTGCTTCTATGTCTGACTTTAGTGCTTCGTCTGGTATATTGTCAGATCGATCTGATTTCCCACTGTTGATTTGTGTGACGGCCACAATTGATTTCTTCGATCGTTGGTGGAAGGTCTGTATATACTGTTTCGATATCCGGTGAATTCAATGGAGCTGGTCTATTCAAGAGTTCCTCGAAGTGTTTTACCCATATGTTCCCCTGTTCTTGAATCTCGGTGATTGGCTAGTCTTCTTCGTCCTTGACCGGTCTCTCTGGTTTACTATATTCCCCTACCAGTTTCTTCGTCGTGTGATATAGTTGTTTCACATTTCCTCTTGTAGAACTGATCTTTATCATCGTTATTACTATCATTGGTGGGTACATTACATTGGATAACATTCATTGTAATTCCCTCCTTTGTTTTGAAGGATGCTTTGATGTTCCAGGATCCATGAGATTGCCATCCTACAAGTGCATTACGTGCTTGTCCCGACAGCATCAGAGCAACTTCGTGAGTGTGTGGAGCATTTTCTTGTTCGTGACCAGAGTACGTGAGCATCTTTCCCAAATCTAATTTTCCTGTCCAGTTTGGGTCCAATGAGTTTCATTGATTCCGAGAACTGCCAATTTGTATCATTTCCGTTGCTATTTAATTGATCCTCCCGGTCTCCCACATTGTCTGGACATTCCGTATACCTATAACGAATGTTGCTCTGGCTGTTAGAAGGGGCATCGACCTTGTGACTTCCGAAGAATTTCGGCTTTCATGATGAGGCGTGATAATTCTTCTGAATGAAGATGCTTGAACTCGGAGAACAGAGTTTAAGTGGTTTAAATTGTTTATTCTGGTTAGTATTTGTTTTCAGCTAGGTTGTCTTCTACGGGATAGGGTTGCCGACCCACTCCCAACCCTCTTCGTTTGTGTTGGCTTGGGAACGGCAGTAGCCCTAGAAGAGGTATAGGCGGAGTTTTAGTTTCCACACCTAACATCTAATTCTTCTGGGATTGTTTTTTTTTAAAAGTAACTGGACTCTGACCAATATCATGAACTCTGATGTATGCACGATTGACGACTTTTCTGAGCTTAAGGATCTAGTTGAGAAGTCCCATAATGTTAAGGTAAGTAATATTGGAGTTTTGCATAAAACTGATTTTACAGGCAGATGTATCTGATGAAATCAAGAACTTACTTGCTAGAAGAAGTGAAATAGAGCACAAATTAAAAAAGATAAACTCTCTAATGTATGCAAGCCCGTTAGCTATACTTTTTCTGTAGACCTGATTTCCATAAGTTACAAATAAATGCCGAAAATTCTTCAAGATTGGTGGGCTGTGCTTCAAAACTTGCTCTACAGCTCAGTGGGAAAGTGGAGCAATTAGATTTTGTGAAAGTAATCTTATTGAATTCCTAATATTTTTCAGAATCATGTTCTTAATTGTGTAGATAAACTTAGTCATATAATTACTGTAAGAAACAGTGCAGTTGGAGTGAAACGATGTCTCATGGACTCTAAATTAGATGAAGTAACTTAGTTGATTATCACAGTTATTTTTAGGCCGCTGGTTACGTGTTTACTTATCTGGAAATGGAGAGAGACATAATTTCTCTTATCTCTCGTCTATCAGCGGGTAAGCCTGTTTTTCACTTCAAAATATCAGCTGTCTAAACCAGTAGTTTTCTCACTGTCCGGGTTCATTCGCTTACATATATAAAGCATATTTTGATGAATTGCTTAAAAAGTGGTTGTGAATTGTTACTTCGACTTCTATGCTTGTGGTTTTATTGGAAGTAGAGATAGCTTCCCAATAACCTGTAACTACATGCCTAACATGAGATCCTGGTCAGCAAATTATATGAAAGTGGGAAGACTACATGTTTCAGTCATAATGAGGGACCATTTAGAGATATGTCTCGGACAGCCCCTATACTTCATGTCGAAACAAATGAAGGAAGAGCCTAACAACGTGAAAGTAATAGATGCCAAAATAATTGCAGTATTAGCCGAAGTAAGTGACTAAAAGTATCTATATTAAAATCGGAATTTAGAGATAAGTAGGAAATAAATGGATCTATGTTGTTAAGTCCTATTTTGAGCCACGTTTATTCGAGTTCTTCAACTGTTTACCACGATTATCTAGAGGACCTTGATCAAGAATTCAATACCTCTCCCACACAGCTTAGATAGATGATTTCGTGGTCGCTTTTAACCTCTCAACCTACCAGATCGCTTAGCATTGATCAGGATATGACGTAACAGGAGTGTGCATAACATGTCTCAAAAACTTACAAGTTCAGAATAGTCTAGAAGTCACAGTTCTATCATTGGTTATGGTATGAAAACTTAGCATACATTGGCTATTTGTTCTCGCCACTTACGTTTAACTGCTATATATGTTGATGGTGACGTTTATTGCCAATTTCTTGAAGATTGATGTAATCTAACCGTTGTATCAGTCGAACACTATTCCGTTAAGTAAAAGGAATAAAAAAGTGAAACATTTCCAAATACTTCAATAGTGAATCAGTGGCTTGTTGGTTTAAACATTAAGCTATCGACCAGTGGAGGGTAGGTTTAAACTCCAAATTCTGTGGTTTAAGTATTCAGATATTATCACTAGTCGTCACAAAACATGACTCAAATCCGAGTATGGAGCTTCGTAATTGGCTGATGAGTCACAATATTAATATCATCATTATAAAGTCTAAAGGTGAGAAACTAGACGCATTTAAATGAATGCTCCACGCCTGTCAAATGTATGGTGATGGTCTCAGTCAGTCACTACGTAGAACCTGGTGCGTTTGTATGTCAATTCAAGTTTTCATACCCCATCATCACTGAGAAATGAAATTGTCAGGCCAAGTCCCAGAATAGTAGATGTAGTCACCGTATCAGTGGTAATAGGAAAGATTAGGCACCGAAAATACGATTCAATAGGAAAATATAAATTAGTGAAATAAAACAAGAGATTCATGAGGAATTTAGGTGAAGACAAGGAATGGATGCAACTGCGCTATTGCAGACGATTTTGAGCCATGTCATTTAAAGTCCCTAACTATTGGTTACGATAACCGCACGTACCTCAATAAGGTAGTCTATATCTATTAACATGGCCAAGTCCAAATGTTAGTGACTTCACGGACTGATGCTATGTTTCGGTTTGGCTGCTCTTAACTTTCTTCCAGCCTACTCCCACACGTACATACGTAACACGTCTCAACCACCTCACTTGATGAAGATTGACTACCTCATCAATCTATTTGTCATTCCTACCTCGTAACCTTTCTTAATTCAAGCATTGCTTATTCTGTGGTCCCAAAATACACGAGCAATGCTTCGAAAATACCTATGATTTGATGCATGTAACCCACGAATGTCCTCTATTTTTGATAACCATGATGGTGATTTGACTAATTGGAAATCAATAAAGTGTCTAAGGAGTTACGAATTAGTCATAATCAACATATAACTTGACACAAATGTGTTTGAGCCCAGGTTAGGATCTCATGGTAGCTCAATAAGATTGTTATAACTTGTGCCCTGTGTCCTGTTGATGTGTAACGTGATGATACCGCCAATTAGAGTACAATAGATTATCGATCGGACCAATGACGCATAAAACATGTACGAGCAGTCCAAAGTCCTTATCGGTCCTGCTTCCTACCTAGCCCAGCCTACTAATTTCAGAACACCATCTCAGCCTCTGCGATATAAATCATTTATTTCAAACATACTGCGTTTATATACCGACCAGGCAGACCTCATCGTACCATAAGATAGGAAACAACATTTGTACAAGATTTGGCCAAAAGTGGCTGTGAATGTGGGAGGTAGTAATTGATAGACTGGGTATAACTCAAGAATGATGAATCGTATAATAATTCATAGGTCAAAATATAGCTCATAATAAGAGGGACATGAATACTGAATAGTTTAGTTAATTAATAATTATACGATAAAGATATACGCATAGTATTGGTCCATAAATGGATCCCAAAAGTTACCATTCATTATTCTTATCGGGATATAAAAAAGATGACATCAACAAAAAGTAGCAAATGAGTCGAAATACTAGTATAATATCAATGATAATGAACGGCGAAAATTTCAGAGTATACTTCAAAAACAAGGGGCAAACTAAAGCCATATATATAAAAGCCAATTTGACAGTATATTAATATGAGAAGCCAACATATTGAAACATGTTCGGACGTCAAGCTCCACGAACTAGCTATTACAGTAACAGGCATATGTTACTCAACAAGGTTTTTATTACCCAATAGAACTAAATGGTGATATCAAGTTTAAAAGGATAATTAATTAGTTCGTACACCTCCGTACTTTTTTCTATCATTTTAATGGTTTCTATACTGTATTATAAATATAAATTAAAGTTTATTATGGCACAGCCGGAGAGCGGTCTAATTAGTAGAAAAAAATTATAATCTTGTTCAAATTGTCACAGTACAGATTTGTGAGAATTTCTACATTTCTCTGTGGTTTATAATCCTGGTACTGATTCAGCTCATCAAACTGCAACACGACTGTACAGTTTAACTTGCCAACATACACATACTATATTTATTCTGATTTTATAAACCCTATCCTCAAATATTGCGTGTTATAGTTTCTACTCTTCGATTGAAAATGGTCTCTTATTTGTGATAGTCATACTAATGATGATCTAAAATAATACTTTATAGATAATCCTGATAATAACCCATTGAAAACTCTGGATGACAGTCGACAAATTCTCGTAAAGATGGCAATTGGGAAATTCGATGAATATATTTCGAAACGGGATGAAAAGAATATAGTACATTTGTTAAAGATATTTTTCTTATTGGGCGAAACCAATGAAGGAATTCGACGATTTTCTACATATCTTTGCTCATACATTTCAAATAAATGTGAAATATTGATAACTACTTATAAATCATCTTCAAAATCATCTGAATTTGCATCAGCTAATCTAATCACAGAAATTTTAGAGTTTGTTGCGGATACATTGAAAAATAATTCAATGTACGTCGAAACATACTGTGGTAAGTATAAAATGTTTATTGTCATTTAAAGAAACGAGGAGAGTTGTGCTGAAGCTAATTTTTCTGACATTTTCAATGTGAAATGTTTACAAGGCGCAAAAGCATTTTAGTGTTAAGAATTTGTAAAATACCGGTTGTTATGGTAGCAAAATATGTTTTATTCATCTTCCTATACCCTCTCCTACATGACGAGATAATTTTTATTCGAGTTAGTTACTGGAAGCAAATGATATATTACTAATGCGCAATTAACTAGATTAGCTTAATCAGATCAGTCATCTTAATTATCGAACCATGAAGTGTAAGGTTAGTGGTGGTTCGTTCTCTAGGTGCTAGTTTAAAAAAAGCATACAACTATTATTGTTATTGTTACTATTTTTGTTCGAATCCCATTTGGATTTCCAGATCAAGTCTAGGTTTAAGTTCATTTTACTTGGTGGATATGAATTAGTATAGCTTATATCAAACTGACGTTAGTTAGACTACAGTTAAAAACCTGGAAGTACTGGACATCTGTTTCGTCCTAGTATTTGACTCCACATTAGTGCACGTCCACGACTCCACCGAGGATAGAACCCTGAACTTCTAGGTCTTGAGGCAAGTGCTTGATGTTTTGACCATTTAGTCGGAGTCCAGTGATTTATATACTTAATCCAACCAATGTGCTATATTGCGCAAGACCTAAAGATCCGAATTCACTTGGTGTTGTTTGCTTGTATCTTCCCATTGTTGTTTAGGACTGCAATTGATCAGTCTCTTATTGGCATGTATACATCCTGTGCGGATTGCATCGATATAGCCCTAATTCACAAGCATTGTAAGCAGAGATGGATAGTGGCTAGCAGTAGAATCCAGGACGCGCGTTTCATCCTATTTGGGACTCGTCAGCTGGATGTACGTGCACATATGCCAACAACAGACTGATCAATTGCAGTCCTAAAAATCGCCCCCAAATGCCCTGGTACGCCCGAGAGTGGAGAGAGTCCACACTCCCTCTCGAAAAACTCTCACACGGCCACACGTATACAGCCTCTGCCAGTGAAGTCCTACTCACTGCCTCCTCCTGACGAGGCTGTTGTTTACGAAATTGAGAGGACGAAAAGCGAATGTCCGGCGCTTTAACCGGATCCCAAACCAATGGTGCACATGGGCTCCGGTATCCTGCGGGAACAAATGGCGTATGAACCAATCGTTGGTCATCGGCTACCATGGGACTGCATCTCCTCACGATGCTCCACTGCCTTGTGGGTTAGACCTTTAGGTCAAAGGCTCGGGGTGTGGCCCCCTAAGATAACCACCTGCTTCGGTCTGGGCACCCGGGCAGTACCGCAGCCCACACGCAAACGATAAACTCTCTATATCTATGGAAACTACTTTTCTCGCTTCGAATAACAATCAAATGATTATTATTATTATTATTATTATTATTATTATTATTATTATTATTTACCACACTATTCACCCCCTTTTATACTTATACAGCGGCTCGCCTTTGGTGAAAATTCGACTGTATCTAAACATTCTCGAGTCACTGTCCGGTTGAAAATTGTATATTACCACTGAATATGAGTACTGAAGCAGTGTTTCGGAAAACACGTGCACCATTCAAACTGTCTGACTTCAAAGTTCGCACATTTATGCAGGTTGGACAACAGATCCGAGACCCGTATTCAAGACTCTGGCGAAGTACTACAAATTCGATCTCCATCTGTCGCTTCGAAAAGCTTGTTTTACGTGCGCTTATCCGGGGACCCTGTGGCATCTTCGTCTGGTCTTGCTGGCGTTGGTGTCGCACTAAGCGCTAGAGCTGAGGCAGCACTAGTCGATTGGATCCCCATTAACAGTCGGTTATGTGCTGTTAGATTAGAAAGTTCCATCAAAGTGAGAAGAAATCGGCGTGAGAAACGATGTCTTTTCGTCATCTCCGCCTATGCCCCGACAGATTGCAGCCCGGATGCAATCAAGGATGAGTTTTACCACCAGTTATCTGTTCTTCTCCAGAAAGTGCGTTCGACAGATATTGTAGTACTAGCCGGAGACTTGAATGCTCAGGTCGGGCGTCTAGGCACAGAAGAGAGTCGTTTAGGTGGCCGATGGGGACTCGTTGGTCGCAGGTCAGATAACGGGGACCGTCTACTGCAACTTTGCACAGACCACAACCTGTTTCTGGCTAGCACTAACTTTCGGCACAGTCATCGCCGATGTGCCACCTGGCGTCCTCCCTCTGCATCTCAAGCCTGGACTCAGATTGATCACATCGCGATCAGCTACCGCTGGCGTGGTTGTGTACAAGACTGCCGCTCCTTTTGGAGTACCTATCTGGACTCTGACCATGCCTTGGTCTGCGCCAATCTTGCCTTACTTTTCAGTGGACAACGAAGTGACCACCACCAACGGATTGATGTTAGCAAGCTGGTTGCAACTTCTGTTGCAAGTAAGTATCGAACCGAGCTAGCCTCTAGGCTAGCTACCACTCCACCGAAAAGTATAGATGAGCATTGGTTGCAATTGCATGACGCCATGAAAATGGCGGGAACAGTCAGTTGTGGGTTTGCGAAACGTCCCGCTTTTAAGCACTGGGTTTCTTCTGGTTCCTTACAACTCATTGAAGCCCGTCGGTCTACTCCGGGTGACCGTGAGTTTGACCATAAACGAAGGATGTTACGTAAGGAAATTGGGCAAAGCTTGCGTAAGGACCGAGAAGCCTGGTGGTCGATGCGTGCTAATGAGCTGGAAGCAGCAGCTGCATCTGGTAACTACCGGAAGCTCTTCCAACTCATCCGAGCCACTGGCAGCAAGAAGTCTGGTGTGAGTGAAACAATCTGCGAGGATGATGGGATGCCAATCACTAACATCCATCGACGTCTTGGACGATGGGCAGAATTTTTCGAAGGGCAGTTCAACTGGCCTGCTGCTCCGGCAACATCGGTCAGACTGTCCTGCCCTCCATGGCCGGTGACGACTGATCCACCAAATGAGGAGGAAGTCCGCAAGGAACTCCAACTCTTGAAGCGTTACAAATCACCTGGCCCAGATGACTTACCTCCGGCTCTTTTTAAAGATGGTGGTGACTTTTTGACTAAGGAATTGACGACGTTGTTTACAAAGGTTTGGGAACTAGAGAGTGTACCAACGTCATGGAATGAGTCGATAGTTGTCCCTATCTTTAAAAAGGGTTCACGTCGTTCCTGTAACAACTATCGGGGGATAAGTCTACTTCCGATTGCGTCCAAGCTATTGGCTTCCGTCATTCTTCGTAGGTTGTTCAAAACCCGAGAAAGATTGACTCGCGAGGAGCAGGCTGGGTTTCGTTCTGGTCGAGGATGTATTGATCATATCTTCACCCTCCGCCAAATGTTAGAACACCGCCATACTTTTCAAAGGCCAACAATCGTAGTGTTTCTTGACATCAGGGCTGCCTTCGATTCGTTGGACAGGACTGTTCTCTGGGATTGTCTATTGAAGAAGGGTGTGCCTGAGAAGTTTATTAACATCCTAAAAGCCCTATAAAAACACCTCAGGCAGAGTGAGGGCATACAACCACCTCTCTCCATTGTTCCATTCGAGCAGTGGGGTTAGGCAGGGTTGCCCAATCTCACCATTCCTCTTCAACTTTGCCATCGATGACATTCTGGAAACAGCTCTGATGAATGTAAGTAATGGTGGTGTGGATCTGTTGCCTGGAGAAAGACTTCTCGACCTTGAGTATGCGGACGATATTGTCTTACTGTGCGATAATGCCCAAGGCATGCAATCCGCACTTAATCAGTTGGCAATCAGTGTCCGTAGGTATGGTATGTGCTTTGCACCTTCGAAGTGCAAAGTACTTCTACAAGACTGGCAGGATTCTAATCCTGTACTCACCCTGGATGGTGAGCAGATAGACGTAGTTGAGAAGTTCGTGTATCTGGGTAGCTGCATAAGTGCTGGTGGGGTGTGAGTGATGAGATCAATGCACGAATAGTGAAAGCCAGAGCGGCTTATGCCAATCTGGGCCACCTTTGGCGCCTTCGTGATGTTAGTCTGGCTGTAAAAGGTCGGATCTACAACGCGTCGGTGAGAGCAGTTTTGCTCTATGCTTGTGAAACCTGGCCTCTCCGAGTTGAGGACGTTAGACGACTCTCTGTGTTCGATCATCGCTGTCTCCGAAGGATTGCTGACATTCAGTGGCAACACCATGTCAGTAATGCAGAGGTTCGGCATCGTGTGTTCGGGCACAGAGATGATAATCAATTGGTGTCACCATCTTGAAACACCGACTTCGGTGGCTTGGACATGTTCTCCGAATGTCGTCCCAGAGAATTCCACGTCGTGCATTATTTGCCGACTCTGGGACTGGTTGGAAGAAGCGGAGAGGTGGTCAGTGCATGACATGGTGTCGTGGCATGAAAGAAAGCTGCAAAGGACTGGCTTGTGTTGGTCCTTCACGACTCCCTGGTTGGGGTCCGAGAGATGGTGCTACACAGTGGCTAGAGACGTTATCAGATATGGCTCAGAATAGAAGCCAGTGGCGATCCTGCTGTAACCTTCTTTTACTTTCTTCATAAAAAGTGGTTGTGTCTCCTTACCTGAAAGATTTCTTCTGATTGTACCTTTCCGTTCCCTCATTATTACTATTATTATTACTACACTACCTTACACCAACCTCTTCGTTATTATTCTCTTTTTTTCACGCTGCTTACTGTTTTTTTCTTTCTCTTCGAATTCTCATTGTTTTGTGTGGCGCATATATATTGGCGTTCTCTTATACCAATATTTATGTGTTCAAATAAATAAATAAATAAAGTCCTAAAAATCAGTGGGAAGGTACCAGCAAACAATACCAGGTGAATCAACACTTCGTTCCATTGTACAAGGAAGCAGGACACAGTAGCCGAGTGGATAAAGCGATGGCATTTGAAGTGAGCGGTACTGAGTTCGAGTCCCAGGGCGAACACCAACTCTGGGATGCGAGTACGTCCAGCTGACGAGTCCCATATGGGACGAAACGGGCGTCCTGAATTTCACTGCTAGCCACTATCCATCTTTGCTTATAAAGCTAAATATCCTAGTTTTGATCCCCTCTGCAGACAGAGATGCACACTGAGAAGAAAGTCTCATACTATGACGGAACAAGTGTTCGGGGCCTCCTGGTTTTCAGTTGTGGTCTAACTAAAATCAGTTCTTGATATAAACTGAAAATTCATCAGTCCCTAAAAACCGCCATAGAAAGAATGTACATTAACTCAACTCGAGTTATAAAGCAGAAACTCCGGTAAAAAGTTGCTTTCTCTTAGTTCACTCTCAGTCTGTACACTGATATCGGAATTTAGTAAAAGTCATGGAAGATACTAAAGGACAAACAGGAATTGCAGACAATAAACGGTCTAGGTTGACACAGCCCTACAAAAGCACCGTAAAAATAGATCAACAGAAAAGGAGTTCTGGATTACAATACCAACAGCAGTAAAAACTAAAGTAATAAATAAGAGGGAGTCAAACAAATGAAATCATAGAATTAAAAAGAATGTATAGTAAAACTATTGCGAAAGCTGGAGGAAAATGAATGATAATCGCAATAATCTTACTGTCATCGATTTTATTCATGCCATCTGAAGTCTAACTAGATATATCGGTTCTGGTGCAAACATCAAACTAGGAGCATGTACTTCCTTCAAGACTGGTTCAATAACTCAACTCCCAGTTCTATTTTATTAAGTGTGCAGTTTACCGACTCTACACAGTTGTTCAAACTGACGTTTTATACTGCTGTGATAATTTCTCATTATCACACTCTGAATGGAGAAGATTAAGGATCTTATCAGTTGTTTAGGGAGTATTTTAAACTTCTTGTCCCATTGAAAATCACAATGCTAGCAATTAGTGGTGACGAAGGTTAGATGCCTAGTAACACCACTTATTTGTAAAGAACACGACAGCCCAAAATTTGTAGACTCATTTTTCCCTCATTTACTATGTTCATGGACATTTTATTTCGGTTAACTCGTTTATGATGACACGTAATGATCTTGTGTGATACAGTTATAGTAAATAATTGTGTTGTATTAATACCGGAAAACTATTTGCTTAACCTTTTCAAACACATCAGTTTCTTTGTAAGGGTTTGTGTTTCCCTGCTGTTTATATACTGGTGTGCAATTCACTGGTATATTTACATCCTGAGCAAATGCTTCAATATTGCCTTCTAAATTACAAGTCCTCAGTATGCATTCTTTGTAGCCCTGAAATTTCAGTAGGTAGAAAATACAAACCCCTGACCCGTTGGACACGTCAGTGGCTATCTGGAATCACTAGTTTGTTGGATAATGCGTTGACTTTTAAGGCAATGGGTACTGAATTGAGGTCTCAGTGTAAGCATTAACACTGATGCTGGTACATCTAAACAGGAGGCAACACACGTCCTATATCCTTCTGCTAACTGCAGTACAAATGTACTGTACATCACTTATTTATTTGAATCCATTTATAACAGGCAGTTTCACGAATTTATGTATGTGGGGGTAGCTGTAATCAGGTTACGTGGTGTTATTTATTGATTTTCTTATATTTTGTTAGGTCCAGGCAACATATTTGGGTTTGTATCTTCTGTTCATTGTGTCGTTGACCAATACGTCAAGTGTGTAATCGAGCGTTTCTATAATTATCATCATCTTGATGAACTTTGTTCAGTGCTCAAGAAATTAAATAGTAATAGTTTAAACAGTAAAAGACATGATTCATCAGCTCAGTCGATCAATAGAGATAAAATATTGGATTCAAACGAATTAGGATCAGATCGCGTATTGATCATTGAGCCTATAATTGTTGAAACATTACAGATCATTACATGTTCAGAACTTTATTTGAGATTTATACAGAGGCGAATTTCTGTAAGTTATGTTTTATACATATGAATAATCAATAATAACATTCACAATGTTAAGAAGTAAATTTATAAGATCAGTTTTTAATGAAATTGAAATTGAGAAATTTCAATTAAATAATGTTTATTTAGAAATTGCTTTAAACTATGCTTAGATTCATTGTATTAATCTGTTCCAAAAAAAGAAGTTAATATTGTCATTCTGAGTTTAATTCTTTAAAACATTGCCCCCAAATACCCTGGTAATGCCGATAGTGAGGAGAATTACCTCTCTCGAAATGCTTTCACATGGTCACGCATATACAGCCACTACCAGGGAAGTCCTACTCACTGCCTTCTCGCGGTGGCCTGTTGTTTACGAAATCAAGAGGATAAAAGGCGTGTTTCCAATGCTTTAACCGGGTTGGTGGACATGGAGAGGCCACCTAGGGGAGTTGGAAAACCCTGATTCAAAACCATTAGTGCTCATGGGCTCCAGTATCCTGAAGGAACAAATGGCGTATGAACCAATCGCTGATCACTGGCTACCATGGGACTGCATATCCTTACGATGCTCCATTGCCTTTTGGATCAGACCTTCATGTCGAAGGCTCCAGGTGTGGCCCCCTAAGAAAACCACCTGTTTCGGTCTGGGCACCCGGGCAGTATTACAGCCCTCACACATATCAAATGAGATTTGTGTTTCGCACATGTATTTGGTACCTCCTTGTACCAATATCTATGTGTTCAAATAATAATAATAATAATAATAATAATAATAATAATAATAATAATAATAATAATAATAATAACTTTAAAACATTGTGCATACATTCGTGAAAACATATTGTACATAAAATGTAGATAAATGTAAACAATTATTAATAATAAATATTTTTTTGTTATATCTCAATGAGTAGAAAAAACGTATTTCTGACGACGTTTCGTGACTTAATGTAAGCCATTGCATCAGATTAAATAAATAACGCAGGGTATTAGGGAATGATGATGGTAAATCAGTTGATGAGGTTGTGATTCTGAGATGATTGAGCCACGTATTACGTATGTCTGAACACCGATTACCACGACGCGCAATGCTGACTAGTGTTGGGGATAGTTGGAATAAAGTTAGGGGTGGCCAAACCAAAACGTGGCATCAGTGCTTGAAGTCACTAACTTCTAGTCTTAGCCATGTTGGTAGATGCACACTACTTGGTTGGGGTTCGAGTGACTATCGTAACCAATGATTGAAGACTGTGTGTGACATGTCTCAGAATCGATCAGAATGGTGTAGGTGTATACACTCTCTGTCCTCCCTTAAACTGAGATTAACATTGCTATATATCTTTCTTTCTACGAACTAATTCTTTCTTCCTGTACTATGTCCTAATATGGAATCTTTTTTTATATATTACCACCATTGAATTTGCTACTTCTATGAATCCACTGTTCATCTTGTTGTGCTAATGCAGTATGGCAACTTGGATCGATGCACATATGTGCCTGTTCCTACGTTGTAGCTGACTGACTGACAGTACACTAATAAATAAAATATTTCGGAATTAATAAGTATCAGTACTTGCTGATGAAATAACATACAAATTGAATACATGTTCTGGATCTACTTATTATTTTCATTCAAATTATAAATAACTAATTTGGAATATGCGAAATATATGATTAGTAGTTCAAGAGAGGTCGTTCCAGATAGTTTTAGAAAAGAAACTTAGTAATCTTTAATTATAGGTTTCACATATTTATTGAAGAGTGCTCTATCTTTTACTCATAGTAAAAAACATAAAGATACTTATTTATTTAATCACAGACCATGTATATGTAAATATGTGAAGTCGTTATGATGTCTTTTTTCTTCTTCTGTAGGCTGATATCAAACAGTGCAATCTTGCAGAAAATGATTTTAAAAGTACGTAGAATGGTTCGCTCTTTTGTAATGTTACAGCATAGTAATTAACCTTTGATACTGTATCTTTATAATTTATCGATTACAAATTTATATTTACTTATTTATTACTGCCCCCAAATGCCCTGGTATGGCCGAGAGTGGGGTGGGCCCACCGTCCCTCTGAAATCACGTGCACCATTTAGACTGGCTGACTTCAAAGTTCGCACACTTATGCAGGTTGGACAACTGATAGGGCTGGTTGTCTTTGGAAAGTCTTAATATCGATGTCTGCTGTCTATCCGAGACCCGTATTCAAGACTCTGGTAAAGTACTACAAATTCGCTCTTCATCTGTCGCTTCGAAAAGCTTGTTTTACGTGCGCTTATCCGGGGACCCTGTGGCATCTTCGTCTGGTCTTGCCGGCGTTGGTGTCGCACTAAGAGCTAGAGCTGAGGCAGCACTAATCGATTGGATCCCCATTAACAGTCGGTTGGTTATGTGCTGTTAGATTAGAAAGTTCCATCAAAGTGAGAAGAAATCGGGGTGAGAAACGATGTCTTTTCGTCATCTCCGCCTACGCCCCGACAGATTGCAGCCCTGATGCAATCAAGGATGATTTTTACCACCAGTTATCTGTTCTTCTCCAGAAAGTGCGTTCGACAGATATTGTAGTACTAGCCGGAGACGTGGATGCTCAGGTCGGGCGTCTAGGCACAGAAGAAAGTCGTTTAGGTGGCCGATGGGGACTCGTTGGTCTCAGGTCAGATAACGGGGACCGTCTACTGCAACTGTGCACAGACCACAACCTGTTTCTGGCTAGCACTAACTTTCGGCACAGTCATCGCCGATTTGCCACCTGGAGTCCTCCCTCTGCATCTCAAGCCTGGACTCAGATTGATCACATCGCGATCAGCTACCTCTGGCGTGGTTGTGTACAAGACTGCCTCTCCTTTTGGAGTATCTATCTGGACTCTGGCTGTGACTATGAACTTGTACATCGTTACTGAATTGTACTAAATCAATTTTTGTAATTTCTCATCTCGTTGAATTATGTGTATAACCATCTCCTTTCTATCCATTTAAAATCTCTCAAATAGTTTTCATATTGTCTGCGTATCTTCAATGTTAATATAAGACCTTGAAAAAAGTGTATATCCACCTTCCACGAAAAGGCCGTGAGCGACCGGCCTCAAGCAGTTGTCCCTTGGGCTCTGCGGTCACGCTCCCAGGTCTTTAAGACCAACACTAATCCAATCTCCTTTTCAGGTTCCTCAAAAAAATACCCCTCCATGGTGTGGGCAGCCGGGAAGTGACACCAGCCCTCATACCCGTAACAGCACATGAGACCAAGTTGGTCACATCCAAATCCTTCTCACACCTCCTAATACCTGTCTTATCTCCATGACTAACCCTCCTCACGTCTCTTTATCACCTCACACCGCTAGGAAAACGATTCGAGTACGCGGAACGTTATTCCTGGTCTCCTGAAACCATGCTCTAAACTACACGTTGGAGCTTTTGACGTCCGAACACTGCCAAATGGGACAGCAGGCTTCCTTAGCATCGTGGCTCAAAGAACGGATAATGGTGACCGTCTGTTGCAGCTATTCTCAGATAACCGCCTGTTCCTTGCAAGTACTAACTTTAAGCATAAGGAAAAACATCTTTTAACATGGCGACCCTCTGATTCGTCCCAACGTTGGACTCAAATAGATCACATTGCTATTAGCCACCGATGTAGGGGTTGGATAGAAAACTGTCGCTCATTCTGGAGCACGTGCTTAGATTCAGATCATGCTCTAGTGCGAGCGCGTATTTGCGTGCGTCTTAGTGGACGTAGGAAAGACGCCTCACAGAAACCTCTTAGGGTCCTATTTAATGGTAGTCAAACTAAGAGTATATTTCAGGAACAACTCGGAAAACGGTTAGGCAGCCATGCAGGCGATGCCCACCCCGAGGCACCATGGAGTGATATCCGAAAAGCTGTGGAAACAGCAGTGATATCTTCTAGTACGGTGACCTGTAAGGTTAGGGAGCAACAGTGGATCTCAGCAGCATCTATCGCACTGATAGATGCTCGGAAACTCATTCCACCTGGCTCTGAACATAATGAAGGGCGGAGTCAGCTCAAGCGAAAGCTGACAAGAAATCTACGCAATGATCGCGAACAGTGGTGGGTAGCGAAAGCAAGAGAGATGGAAAAGGCAGCGGCAATAGGTAATAGCAGACAATTGTTCAGACTTGTTAAGGAAACCGGTATTAGGAAACCGACTGTTAGCGAAACACTCTCAGAGAAAGATTGACATATTATACATCCTCAATCCAGGAGATTGGATCGATGGGCAGAACACTTTAGTGGTCAGTTCAAGTGGCCTTCAGCCACACTTCGGTTTGCCACGATCTCCAATCAACCTGAATGGCAAGTTAGTGTAGGTCCTCCGACTCTTTACGAAGTTGAAAAAGCCATAGGAAATCTGAAGCGAGGGAGAGCAGCAGGCCCTGATAGGTTTACTCCTGAGATTTTTAAGGATGGTGGTTCAGTATTAGCAGTGGGATTAACTGAGGTTTTAGGTAGAATTTGGGAACTGGACGTAATCCCACCTGACTGGTCTCAATCACTGATTGTGCCAGTCTATAAGAAAGGACAAAAGTCCTCTTGTGACAATCACAGAGGAATCAGTTTGACAAATGTAGTGTCTAAAATATTAGCTTCAATAATACTTCGACGCCTAACCAAAGCTCGTGAAGAACAGACTAGAGAAAATCGGTCTGCTTTTCGGCCTGGACGTGGTTGTATAGATCAGATATTCACACAACGTCAGGTTCTGGAACACAGACACACGTTCAGACGCCCCACAATGGTAGTATTTCTCGACCTTAAGGCGGCATTCGACTCTGTTGATCGTGAAGTTCTATGACAGTGTTTGTCATTGAAAGGAGTACCAAAGAAGTACATTAACCTTGTAGAAGCTCTCTACTCGAACACAACTGGTCGAGTGAGAGCTTATGGCGAACTGTCATCAGAATTGATTACCTCAAGTGGTGTTCGTCAGGGCTGCTCACTGTCTCCATTCTTGTTGAACTTTGTCGTGGACGTACTTTTAGAGAAAACACTCTCCTCATCTAAATTTCCATGGGTTGAACTTCTACCGGGAGGTTCACTTGTTGACTTAGAATATGCAGATGACATAGTTTTATTTGGTGAAGACGCTGACAAAATGCAGAGTCTTCTGACCACTCTAAGCAACAATGCAAGCATGTTCGGGATGCGATTCTCCCTCTCGAAATGCAAAATGTTGCTTCAGGATTGGGTTGCATTGACACCCGAACTAATGATAGGGAGTGAAGTAATTGAGCGTGTCGACCGCTTCACTTATCTTGGAAGTCTCATCAGCCCTTGTGGTCTGGTGTGTGACGAAATCTCAGCACGGATACAGAAGGCTCGACTAGCTTTTACCAACTTGCGTCATTTATGGCGTAGGCGAGATATCCGTCTATCAACCAAAGGACGTGTTTACTGCGCAGCAGTTCGTTCCGTCCTACTTTATGGCAGTGAAACATGGCCGGTAAGAGTAGAGGATATTCGTAGGTTACTAGTATTTGATCATAGGTGTCTTCGAAATATTGCTCGTATATCCTGGGACCATCGAGTAAGTAACGCAGTTGTTAGGAAACGGGTACTAGGTAAGGATGGCAAATCAATTGATGAAGTAGTGAAACTTCATCAGTTGAGATGGCTGGGACACGTGTTACGTATGCCCAACGACCGACTGCCTCGACGTGCGATGTTCAGTGGTATAGGAGTAGGTTGGAAGAAAGCTAGGGGCGGCCAGACCAAAACATGGCACAAGTCCATGAAGTCACTGACAATTGGACTGAGTCATGTTGGTAGGTGTAGACTACCTGGTTGGGGACCGCGAGATGAAAGCAACCGATGGTTAGAGACCCTGAATGACATGGCTCAAAATCGTTTGCAATGGCGCAGGTGCATGCACTCTTTGTGTTCTCCCAAATTTTGATCTCCTTATTTCTCCTTGTCTCTTTTTTTCTGTTCCCAAATTTATTTCACTTTGTTATACTCTTTAAGTAACATGTCTAAACACTAATTTTCCCGATTACTGCTTATACTCTTGCTACCTCTACCACTACGGGATTTGAATCGACCACTGCATCTCTGTGCTAATGTGGTGTGGCAACTCGAACTGATGTACGTACGTACGAAGTTCTACGTTGTTACTGACTGACTGATATCCACACAAGTTCTTATGATCTTAGTGTATTATCTCGTTGAAACTTACTATATGGATGTAAATGTAGTGTGTTTTTTTACTGATTGAAATCATGATTCAATTGAAGCTAGAAACCATGGAAGACCTGGAAGCACTCAAATGCTGTCTCGTCCTACTATGGGATTCCTCAGCAGTGCGCATCCACGATCTCGCCCCCGCGAGATTCGAACCAAGACCTATCAGCCTCGCGCCAAGCGCTTAACCACCTAGACCACTGAGCCGGCCGGCATCCAACGGTGTTAATGTCTAACTTCAACCAATCCACGAAGTTGCGCCACCGTATACCATTGTCTTCAGTGAGCTCCTATCTCACAACAGACCTGGTTGAACTCCACTGGTAACGACTTCCCACTAGAACTCCAGGAGTATCTCTTGAAGTCAGTCACCACTAGTGAGCAAATGATTATTATCAGAATGGATTTAATTTGGTATCATCTATAGTTTTATTAATTTAGATTAAAATACTAAAAATAAATCAATCCTCTTTTTTTTTAAAGAAAAAAGTAATGAAATTTCAAAGTTTTTTGAAAATTCTCATCTTGTTTGTCAAGTACAAGATTTACTCAATAAATATCTTAATTTAGAACAATATTATCTTTATGTGACAATGATAAAGGTGAGTTGTTTTCTCCGTATACGATATCTATTGTAAGTGTTTATGATAAATGACTATATTTTGTATGTTTTTATTGAATTCATCTATAATCGTTTAGTAGCTTTCCCACCTTGGAACTGTAAACCTTTGTCACTCATTACTTTAGTTAACTAAACATCTCCACTTCGGTATTCAACAGCAGCTCTAATAGCGGTGTATAACTATATGTGGATTCTAAGGAAAGAATATTTATTTACAACTTACTCTCTATGAATTAAAATATGTTTGTTTCTAAACCTGGTTTTGGTTGGTCGTTGAGGATATCGGACTTTACAATTATGTTTACTTTCGGTTCTGGCGCATATGTAAACTGAATAGAAGATTTTACCTTTAATATTTCAATTCGTCGTTCTTGATAGGCTTCAAATCACGTCTGCTTTTGCAGCAGCAACAACAACTACATTTGATCAAATGAAATAGACAATTTTCTTCTGATATACTTGGATTTGTTCAGATGGCGATAACATACTTGGGATAGTAATCAATCTTAAACTACTAAAATGCATAATCGCTAACTTTATTGTAAAGTTTCTGCCAATGTTGACTAGAAAATTGATAGATGCCTTAATATTACATTATTCTGCTCAATCTAGGGATAAAAATATTGTAGTTGTTATTTAACACCATTACTAACAGTTCGAACTCGTGATTTCTTCACTGGGTTGTTAGTTTCACCCTAAATAGATGAACATCATTTCTAATCTGGATTTTTTCAATTATTTGTTTTGCAAGGCATTAAATTCAGATGAAGTCGACTCATCTAGTAATATATGGTGTTTTATTGACGATGTGTTTTTCATCACTAAGAAAAGTCTTGTGTAAGTTACAATTTTTTCGTTGTGAAATGTATTAACTTCAATTTAGTAAGGTAACATACCTGTAATGATTTTCTCCAAGCGTCAAGGTCTTAGTAGTGTATTTTCATGTTTTCAGGAAATTCAGTTTTCTTAATTGACGGGAATGATTACGCAGCATAAATGTGGCCATTCATTCAACCAACTACGCGTAGTATTGTAGCTTTCTTATATATGGTGTATTGTTTTGTGGACTGTGGATTCTGATGATCAATCACATTGGTTTTCGCCATCCTTCAGTTATTTATCCTATCACTGCATACACTACCGAGTGTCATACGATTCCTATCAGTTTTATGAAAGGATCAAATTAGAAATTCATTGGAAATCTGACGTAAGACGAAACGTTTTGTCTGCCAGCGTTAACGATCTTAAGGGATTTTCGTAAAATCTGATAAGTCTTGCGAATTGAACGCTTTATTCGTTTCCCAAGCTATTCTGTGACCCCAAGCTAGAACTATGCAGCAACCTGAACAACGAGGAGAAGATGTAAAGTATGCGAGAAGTACTTTACTACAAGGTTCATTTTAACACAGAAAATATAGGGTTTTTATAAAAATTTTGAATGTCCTTGGGTTGCTCGAAGATTCTGGAAAGCAATATAGCAATCAACCAATCAAAACCTCTACATTTGACGTTCCACTTCTTTGATATTTTTGGCTAAAACTTCAAGTGAACGCCGATTGGATGAAACGCTTCTTAGTGTTTCCTGATCCTTGCTTGTCTTTTGCAAGAAATTTTCTGGATCACTCCAACAAAATCATGTTGAAATATATGATCGTTCATCACTAACCATTAAATAATTAATTGATAGTTCCTGTTATATTATGAGGGGCTACTACTTCTTTATATTATTGTATCTCAGTGGTCAAATTTTAACTGCTAATGATTGTTAACATCGTTATTGCATCTGTTATCCGATTGATTTGATTTTGTGACCAGATTCCATTTACTGTAGTATCCGTCAGTGGTTTACCAGTTTAGTATAAGATCATCTCTTCAGTAATCGATTTGTACGAATTTCCCCGACGACATTGGTTAGACGACTGATCCACCTAACGAGGTGGAAGTCCTCAAGGAGCTCCAACTCCTGGAACGCTACGAGTCGCCAGGCCCAGATCACTTACCTCCGGCTCTTTTTAAGGATGGTGGTGACCTTTTGGCTGATGAACCAAGTTTATTTATTTCTACTATCAAAATACCTTGCTTTGAAACTTCCAATCTTAAAAGTAATTATATGTATGGTATATTCAGATACTAGTCAATGATTGAATATTTATTGTAAAAACACCAACTTCAGTCATACTGAAATTATTTTTTCCCTTTTAACAGTCGATCTCTCTCATCTGGTAATGTGGATACTATTTGTGCTATGGTGAATCATAGTTGTTCAATGCTAATTGATCTTATGGTAAATGATTTTCTGGGCAGCGTTATTCGTACAGGGTTTCCTTCGGGTTGGGTACAAGATGCATACAGTTATGTTCAGAATAGTGTTGCTGTGGGTAAGCTAGATTCCTCTGCTAAGCTTTTAGGAGTCCCATATAACACTTACAAAAAATTGATTTCATAGGAAGTTCTGGTTATTTGCCTCTTTATATACAATAAGTCCAATTTATCTCTGTCAAATACCAACATATGAGTGAGTACTTTATATGTATTCATTCTCAAACATTTTACTACAGCGTTACCGAATTACGGGAATTATGTCTTCGTTTGATTAATGGTGGAATCCACAACACACGTTTCTTCCCATCTGGGACTCGTCAACTGGATTAGTCTACATCCTTTTGTTAAAGTTCTCACTGCACCCTGAACTCAGTAGGAACTACTTCAAACTATAGAGCAGTATCCAATCAAACACTAAGTTACGATAGAGACCATTTTTCAAGTACTGCGATATTCTTTCTAGTTATAAATGTTTACATTTTACTGTTGTTGATATTCAGAATAAATTAATCAGTGTATTTTGGTATGTGATCTTCATGATCCGTTATCAGTAATGAGATACAGGTCAAGGATTTGTACACCTGAGAACTTTATAAAAATATTATAAAACCTTCATATTTCGTATTGGACTCACTTACTTTAATGCGCAGATCATTCATAAATTTGATTAAAATGTCAAATGCATAAGGTTGGTAATAACTACTTCTCTATGATAGTTATTTATTACTTTCATATCTTACTCCACATTTCTGCAGTTGATTTCATATCTAGATTTCCTAATTCTTCTTGAAAAAAACATGTCTAAAAAAGTGGAGATATATACGTGATAGTTTAGAGCTTTTCACATCCATCTTTTTGCCTGTTGTATCATTTCACTTCAAATAGAAGTGTTGCTTGTATTGCTGTAAGTCGTTAGTAATAAAGTTAGTCGATGTTTTAGTAAATTGAATCTCACAATTTCATAATTAATTTAAATTTATAATCAAATGAATTTTCTATGATGAACATATTGTCTAACTTTTTCTTATGCAATTACTTTCCCCCCCCCATCTATTTATTCATCTTAGCTGGTTCACTTAGTTCTTCTTCATCCATTGTCAATGTTCCAACAGTATCATCATTTAATATGATTGGACCTAATGCACTTACACGATATCATTTTCTAATTACTCTTAATAGTATTGAAGCATCTCAAAAAGATTTATTGTCTCTTGTTAATCATCTTGAAAGTGAATTAAATTTACTTTATCAAAATCAAGAAATCAATTCACAAAAACTTAATGTATGTTCTAACATTTTCTTATTAGTTTAAGTGTTTTTAATAATGTACATTTTGTTTTCAGTTCATGTTATTAAATCATTTACTTAGATGTGATATTTTAACAGAATTTTTATCGCTGCTACGTATCTGTGTATATTCCCATTTTTATCATTTAATGAAACAATAAATAGTCAATTCCACTTTTGATTAGACTATAGTGCTTTATCTTATAGGTTTAATATTTAATAGTGGGATCTGATAATAAGTAATAAGTAGGCTATTTACTAGCATTCTCCATCCATCTCTTTCCTCGATAATCGTTTCCAGTTACTATTAGTGCTTTTGATGTCTGCTTCCAATTCTCTATGCAATATGTTCTTTGGCCTTCCTCTTTTCTGTTTCCCTTTAGGATTCTAAATTGGCGCTTGCCTTGTGATTGGAATCCGTGCGACTGTCGTAACCAGTGGTTAATGACTGGGTGAAATGGTTCAGAATTGTTCTCATTGATTAACTCAAGTACATTCACTCTTTGTCTTCCATTAGGTCTTAAGTTTCCTAATTACCTTGGAAATATTTCATCCCATGAATGCACACTTTGCCTAATTTTTTCTATTACTAACAATACTGTTACGAATTAAAATACTGTAACATCTCTCTGTCCTGGTGTGGTGTAGAAACTTGAACCAATGTACATATTTGTCATGTTCTACGTTGCTTATTATACTGACCATTGAAACTGTTCCCAAAGAAGTACGAGCTTATTACAAACATTTTGGAGTTGCACCAGCTTACTGGATACGGTGAGTTGTCAAATCATGATTCCAAACTGGTAGTAAACATGATCTCCAATATCCAAAAAAGCTTTTTAATCACATACTTCTTTCTATATGAAATCCCAAGTTACTGGCCTTCCCTAGTGATAAAATGTTCACAAAGCGATTTTGAATTGCAAAGAATGTCAAATAATTGTAGTAATTAATTTGAAACAATATCAAAGAATAGTATATCCTGGATTCCTCTTCCATTCACTGCTATTTAATATCATTACGTTGAATATCATATTTCATTCCTTATAATTCTCATTTCTTTTGTTGTCTCTATCGGATTGATTTATACATGTTTTTCTCTTTTTTTTCTCTCATCTAATTTAAGATGTGTATCACGGAATTAAAAGTTTCTATCTCAGATCAACTTCAAGCATTACTTGATTCTGCATTCGAGTATCTTTCAACTAGTGTTATTCAAAGTCAAGTAAAAACTTTGTTAAATGTTTTCAAATCATTGAAATATGATTTAACTGAGGTAAGAGTATAAAGCATAATTTACTTTTATTTTCTTCTATAATCACCATAATCTATTTATCCCTTATATACGTCCATTCCAAGTGATAAAAAAAATAAAAGTTTCCTTTATCAATATTGTAAATTTATTATTCTAAATGTGTGTGTTAAATTGGGATTGGTTGTTAAGACGTTCAAACATCATAAACTCACTACCGGGTACTTGACTTCAAACCATAATTCATGTGAGGGCTAGTCATATGACCTAGTTGCCCAGACCGAGTTTTTTTTAGGCTGGGCTCAGAATTGGAACCCAATAGCTGAAAGCCAAATCTCTTAACAAGTTAACTACCGTTTCAGACAACGTCCTTTTATTTGTTCTTACGTCGTAGTTATCGGTTTTACTAATACTTCGTCTATATTGTCTTCGTGATAGTGTGGAATATTTTGGCTGGTAGAATATTTCGTCATATGTTATTTTTTACTACTCTACAAGTGTTTTAAAAGTTTTAGACTATTAAGGTCTTATAGCTTTGATGTTTTAATCTTGAACACAGGTTATAGTTACCAAGGGAAATAATGGTTTTACTTACGTAGTCAACGTATAACTACTATCATAGAATCTCTAGTAGAATAGTACCGACTGTATATTTCTATTTCTCTGCCTGCAAATCTTGATTCACTGTCTTTGTTGTACAGATTCATTAGTCCCTGAGCTAGTTACAAAGAATTTTTTCTGTGATAAGTGATGATAACCTGGCTCACGTCTAATAAAGTTGTATGAATTCTCTTCAGTTTGTAAGTTTACTTTGTTGCAAGAAATTGTATGTAGAAGAGAATGTGAACTAATGATCAAAATAGCTTCAATTTTCCAATTTGTATGGACATTTTACAATAACCGGATACATTGCTAACAGTTATGAATTGAAGAGAGATGTAGATCTTTACTTAGTGAATATGAATGAGGTTCGTGTGGTTATGTACCAGTGAGAAGGCCTGTGATATTTATGTAGTTATTACAAGTATATTACTTATGAGTACCTACCAATTTATCGCGCAATATTCCTGCCCGTGATTTATGTTTTACTGCCAACCTAATTTCTTATCGTTGATAATGTACTTATTGTTCAATCTGTTATACTACTTTGGTCATTTTCTTTATTGTGTACTGAAAGTATTGATACTAATTTCATCACCTTGAATATCAGTTGTAACCTTAACCTAAGGACAGTTTCAACTCACGACATGATAACTGATCAATAACCTCGTGTCACATGTACCATTCTTATAATAATACTAACAATAAATTTGATAGGGATCGTTATTAGTTATTTAATTATATTAATAAGATAACAATATTTATTTGGTGAAACCATTTTCATGATATGATTTCCTCTGTTTAATTTTAATTTTATTTCAGGAGGATCTAGATGTTTTCGCTGCTAATGATCGATGGATTGAATCATGTATAGCTCATACAGAAGATTTTCTCAAACCATTTAGGGTATTCAAATTTCAGATTGTAGTTATTTTTTTAAAAATAATTATGTCATTTCTATCAGTGTAGTTATAGAATTTGGTTAATACATAAATTTACATAAATCGTTTTTATGGTGGAGAAGATTTGTAGCTCAGGTGGATGATTTTGGTGGAAATCTTAGACAGAGAAAACTCCAAAAACACCAGAGAATTTCTAGAAGCCTGGCACTCAGGTCAATCAGCAATCAACAAACATATTGAAATCAGTCCAATTTATCAACCAATCAGAAAAATCATGCACAAACATAAGAACAAAAATCAAAACAATGGGAGACACAACCAAAACAAAGAAGTAAACAACGACAAATTTAAGGTCAACAAGAACCAATCAACGTCGAGGTGCACAGAACAAGCTTTGAGACACATATGGAGAAATTCAAACACTTCACTTCTATCTGAAGTTTGTGCTGATGATCATGTCGTTCAGAAGAACGATGAAAGCTCCACGACCAAACCATCCAGCTCAGAGAACAAAACTCCACCAAAATCATCCACCTGAGCTACAAATCTTTTCCACCATCTCAACTAAATTATATATAACTGACTAGCATACACCTTGACTACATAATTGTTCACTTTGACAAGTATTTGATTTGTTCAAATTCAGCATTCATGATTTCATAACTAGATTATTCTGTTGTGTTTTGTTTCATAAAGAGATATGTTTTTCAAATTAGCATTAACTAGTGCTCTTATTTTGGTCTACTTTATTATTATTATTATTCCAAAGTGATCATCCATGATACTAAATGGATTGAAGAATAAGATCTTCAGTACTCATGACGTCAGCGACATATTCACCAAATTTGTTTCGTACACTTTAGCTACCATCTTTATTGATTTTATAATTTCAGAGTTATCTCAACTATTCACTTTATTAGTATAAAATGATGTATATCTGTATGTAAAATACAGAATTTTGAAAGACTTAATAAGTTTCATTGACTTAAAAGTATATGTACATAGTTCTTATTATTTCATTGCCTATAATTTATATCTATTATCCTCTAATTAGTCAGTCAGTCAATCAGTCAGCTACAACATAGGACCAGACACATATATGCATCGGTCCAAGTTGCCATACCTCATTAACACAACAAGATGCACACCGGATTCATAAAAGTAGTTAATTCAATGATGATGGTAATATATGAAAGAAAGATTGCAATAAGGAAGAAAGAATTAGATCATAGAAAGAAAGATATGAAGCGATTTTAATCTCTTAGTTTAAGGGAAGACAGGGAGTGTATACACCGATGCCATTGTGATCGATTCTGAGCCATGTCACCAAGAGTCTCCAACCATTGCTTACGATAGTCACGCGGACCCCAACCAAGTAGTGTGCATCTACCAACATGGCTCAGACTAGAAGTTAGTGACGTTGTGACCTGATGCCACGTTTTGGTTTGGTCTTCTAGTTAGTGACCCTTTATCACGAAAAGTACTACTAATTAGAAGAGTACTTTTCGTGATAAAGGATCATGACTTCAAATAATCTGTATATGCTTCCGAATGATTTTTGTATAGTAAAGATTAAATGTTTTGATTAAAATGTACAATAATGAGTAGCTGCTTACTATTATTATTATTATTCAATGAATTGTTTGTTTCTTTTGTTTGTATTCTCATTTATAGTCTGTTCTGTCAACTGAGAATAACGATCGATTTGTATTAATTCTCATAAATGAGATTTTGCATCAACTTGATCAATTTATTCAAAGGAAATCTTTCAGTAGAGTAAGTCACTATGGAATATTTCTATTTTAATGTTCAGTTTTGTTTTTATGCCGTTTTTTCTTCTTCTTCTTCTTTCATACTGAATTTTTATTCATTTCTTTTTTTTCTTCACTTTTTATTTAAAAATAGTTTGGAGCTATTCAACTAGAAAAAGAATATCGTAATTTGTTTGCATATTTGACATCAATATCTTACAGCTCTTTGCGTGATTATTTTACGCGTAGTTTACAGATTTGTAGACTTTTAAACTTGGATCGAGTAAGTTCAGAATTATTTCCCTATTAGTTTAAAGATTTTAATTATTATTATTATTATTATTGGATAAATATCTATAGAAGAATTCTAGATTATAAATCAATCTTCTGAGTAAACTTATCTTGATTTTAAGAAAGGTAGATCACCTACTCAGGAAAAGTGTACATTTTTTAAGCTTCGAGATTAGTCTCAGGTACTTACTTACGCCTTTTACTCTTCCTGAAGGAACATAGGCCGCTCAACAGCATTTGCCATCCAACCCTGTCCTGGGCAATCCTTTCCAGCTCCTTCAACTATTGTGATCTAACGAAGAAAAACTTATCACAGTCTTTTTTTTCTCAGCATTGATAATGTTGTTTAGTTTCCTGTTATCCTAAAAGTTCAATTATAAGAAATAGATCAGTCCATTTTTGTTTGTTATACTTTTGTTTTCAATGTGTTTGGGGTTTACCAGGTTGAAGAAGTACATTATTATTGGAATAGTTCTAATTGGCGTCTTACTGCACATGAAGTTAGAAGTATTCTATCTCTAAGGTTAGTTTCAATTATATATATATATATATATATATATATATATATATATATATGAAGAGGCTTGATAACTTCTTATTTCTTTGATTTTAAGGGATTATTCTGTACTAGATAAGCTGATTTAACATAGTTGAATTGGTAAAATTAGGTTAATCAGTCAACGTGATCTTCTATCTGTGTCTTTTAAAGCAAACAGGGTATTCGTTAGATGATTTTCTAGCCCGTTGACCCATCATCATTCGGATTATGAAAATTCGAACCTATAACATAGTAACTTCATGGACTGATAAGAATTTTTGGTTTGAGCTTCTTAATCGTCTTCTAACCTGCTACAATTCTGTTCATTATTAGATATGGGCGTAAGCATTGACTAAAGTAAGCGTTAACATATGTGGTAGTCTTATTTCATCGAATTACCACTCGCTTTTAGGACCTTACGCTTAACTACAACAATATTGACTCTGTTGTTCTAACCTACGTTAATGTCACTTAGAAGGCATTTGTGATGGAATAATTTGAATAATTTTTCTGGTTAGCTTTTTTAGCAAGTTAGTTTTCTAAGGGGTGGGGTCGCTAACCTCATGCCCAACCCTCCTCCTTCATCCAGACTTCAGACCGGCAGTAGCCCTTGGAGGGACTCCAGACGGAGTTTGTGATGGAATACGTGAAACCTATACGTGTCTAGTTTAAGAAGCAGTCACTTTCAGTATCAGTTAGTTTTTTATTGATATCTTCCATAAGCTTTTTTCAGGTTTACTATATATAAATTCTATTTTAATATTTCTTATTCAATCTATTTTACAGACGTGATTTTGCTGTAAATGAAATTCGTGCACTTAAACTACAATGATCTTACGTTTTGTCAGTTGTTCTCCTTTCTTTTTTTCTCTAAATGTTTTCGTTTTGTTTTTCTAATTTTTACAATCTAATAAAATTTATGGGATATCTCAACTGTTGTTACCATAGAATTGGTTAGTTTTTACAAATTTACTAGAGTTGAATTAGAGGTTTTCTTTTTTTGAGTCATAAATTCTTCAACTTTGACAAGAAAATTGATCAACTATTCATATTAATATTATTCATGAATTTATGATCAACACAAATGGAAAATTTAGAATTACATTAGTCGATAATAATTGAATTACAATAATTGTGAATACGGTACAAAACATTGACTGGTCAAACAATGTCAAATCGTTTCATTCAAGTCATAAGCGAACCAGTTAACGGAATGTTAGTTTTATTGATCAATATAAAAGTGATTTATGCATGAAACGACCTGATGATCTTTCGTAATCCTACTGACAGTGATGATATTAATTAAGGCACGAAAAGCAAACACTCGAATAATTTCATCTTTGTCATACAACAGAATTAGTTAACTACTTCTAGTGGATTCTCTTTGTATCCTTTCTTTCTCTTAGATATATATACATATATATAATCGAATATAAGGAAATTTCTAGAAATACTAGAACAAGGTCAATCGGGCCAGTTTAGCTACAGTGCTTCATTTTTATTCTGACCATCAAAAAAATGGATTATAGTATATGACATTGCTATGGTAATTATGACTGATGTGTTTACGAAAGCTAAAGTGATTTAAAAGTGTTTCATAAAATTGTAACTAACTTATGTTTACCACAGCCCCCAAATGCCCTGGTACGGCCGAGAGTGGGGAAAGTCCGCTCTCCTCGAAATGCTCTCACATGGCCACGCGTATATAGCCTCTGCCAGGGAAGTCCTACTCACTGCCTTCTCGTGGCGGGGGTGTTATTTACAAAAATGAGAGGACGAAAAGCAAATGTCCGGCGCCTTAACCGGATCCCAAACTGATGGTGCACATGGGCTCCAGTATCCTGCGGGAACAAATGGCGTATGAACCAATCGTTGGTCACTGGCTACCATGGGACTGCATCTCCTTACGATGCTCCACTGCCTTGTGGGTCAGACCTCTAGGTCAACGGCTCGGGGAGTGGCCCCCTAAGAAAACCACCTGCTTCGGTTTGGGCACCCGGGCAGTAACACAGCCCTCACACATATCGAATAAGATTTTTGTGGCACATATGTATTTGGTGCCTTCTTGTACCAATATCTATGTGCTAAAATAAATAAATAAATGTTTACCACAGGCTTACAGCTAAATCGTGCTGAAACTCAAGTATTTTAGTGGATACACTCTACTTTGTATTATCTAATGATCGTTGAGAAATATGTATCTTTATTCGTTTCAGTGTTTTATAAAACAATACAAGATGAAATTGTCTAGAAAATAAATTATTCGCACGAGTCAGTCTATGGTTGCATTTCCATATATATTCAGTTTGAGCATAACAAAACTGTTCCTCGAATTGAAGACAGTCACGCTCGTTGATTAGATATTCCATATTTTATTGGAGGATCAATAGTCTTTTTTTACAAAATGCTTTAGGTATTATGGTTTGTGTAATTTGTAGACGATATTCGTGAAATATTGACCACATTGGCTTACTTTGAAATAAATTGGTAAGTCTCCCTTGTAAAATCGTCACCGGTTGGACTCAACTAGTTTGGGATTGATGCAGTCGTCAACAATAAGATTAAATGATCGTATCAATGTTTTTGGTACTAAATGATGTTAGATTTGGTATATTGTCGAACCCCCTCCTATTTGTCTAATAGCTAAGTGCTCTCTTCGAGATATATGATCAACCTGTAACGAAAATATTTTAGACTATTAAATTATGGTGAGATTTGATCAAATGTTCTTCAGGGCAGTATGAACATTGGTGTATATTAGAGTAAAACCTATTTAGGGTCTAATTGAAAACAAAACCGTTCGGTTGTGTGTTCTAACTTTCACTACCGAAATTTTGAATATATATATATATATACCTCGAACTTTTTTTACACTGGAAATAGCATGTTTATTGTCATATAACACTCAGTACTCGGTTTATTCACAGTGATGTCTCTATTTAATTTTTTTTTATAAACCCAAACATTATTCCAAAGAGGCATCAACTATGTATGCGTTATATTTTGTCATTCGATTTGTGTGAGGGCTGGGATACTGCCCAGGCGCCCAAACCTGAGCAGGTGGTTTTCTTAGAAGGACATACCCCAAACCTTTGGACTTAAGGTCTAATCCACAAGGCAGTGGAGCAGCGTTAGGAGATGCAGTCCCGTTGTAGCCGGTGATTAATAGGTTCATACACCATTCATTCCCTCCTGAAGACTATATGGAACATTGATTTGGAGTCAGGGTTTGCCAACTCCCTTAAGTGGACCCGCCAACCCGGTTAAAGCACGGATGTTCACTTCTCATCCTCTCGATTTCGTAAACAACACCCCCCATTACGAAAAGGTAGTGAGTAGGATTTCCCTGACTGGCTGTATATGTGTGGCCATGTAAAAGCATTTCAAGAGAGAGAGCGAACTCGACCGTACTAAGGTATTTGGCTGTTCTGCAGTCTATAGGACATTATATGTGGTGTGGCAAGTCAGATGACAGTTGATCCGAAATAATTAATTAAACGATCACCACAAGCAACAACGTCTTTCGAATACATCAAGTGAAGTCGCTAACGCGTAGACGAATTTATAGCGTATTTAAATTTAATTCCGTGAACTATCTCATATTTTCTGACTTCTAGAAATCTGCGAGACATTAATTTGTATTGCATAGCCTTCCTCCCGAGATCTTCAGTTATTCCTAATCATAATAAATGAGCGAAGCAGAAGTGGTTTTGCTAATTTCAACCCTATATTGAAGAAGGTTGGACATTTGTTCAGCAACCTCATCCCATAGAAAACAACCTTTCTAAAAAAAAACTCTAACCAGCATAAACAATTTAGACCATTTCAACTGTGTTCTCCAAGTTGAAGCATCTTTATTCAAAAGAGTTATGAAGCCTCGTGATGTAAGCTGAGATTCTTCAGAAGTCACAAAATCGAATGATAGAATAGGATTAACACTAAAGAACATCAAAGTAACATATTCTATACACAGTGGATGGATTTTATTTTGTTGTTGTTGTAAACATTTTTTTATACACTAAGAACATGGAATGATGCAAATAAACAGAGATTCGGAAACATTTTTGTATTGTACAATCATCAGGCATATAAATTCATATATTCAATCTCGTTAGTAACGAACGAAATAGAAACATAATTCTTTTTTTCTTTTTTGTTTTTTTTGTTGAAAAGAAAATGTTTTTGTCATAGATTTTTTCTTCACACTTTCACTCAAATCAATAATGATATCACGTTTTATTCATTACGTCTTGAAAATAAAAAAATGTATCTTGTACACTATACAACGATTAGGGTATTTTCCCAAACTATTCAAATTATTGATCGAAATCAATAAGATTATAATTTGATTTTCTTCAGAGAATAGTAATATCTAATAATTGAGTTGTTGCTAACTTGACGTGGAGGTCGGGCTTGCCTGTCGTGATGAAGCGACCGAGCTATACTGGCTGGAACAACCGTTTCTCAAGGTTCTACGATATCAGACAGGTCGGTTGAAGAGCGGTAAGACTAAAAGCAACAAACCCAAGATCCAAAGGAGAAATCGTACTGCTGAATGTACAGAGGTGTCACAGCAGTATGGTGTTTCCTCCATACAACCAACATGACAGCGATGATGCCTTCTTACAAGGAGGGGTGGGGTTAGAAAAGGTCGACCCTAAAAATGCACACCTCGCCTTATCCCACGGATATCCGTTTCCGGCGTTAAGGTCTCAACAAGTACGGAACTAACACAAAAATTACCCATAAAAAGGTCGTGTGTTACCGACCTCAAGCAGTTGTCCCTTGGGCACTGCGGTCACGTTCTCAGGTCACTAAGACCACCTCTAATCCAGAAGAACCCTTCCACGTTGTGGGCAACCGGGAAGTGATAACCGCCCTCATACCTCTAACAGCACTCAAGACCACTGTATTCATAATCAACCTCCATCTTCAATTCCTTTTATTCCTCCTACATCGACATTCACCTCTAAACTTCTTTTTCCGGCTTACCCCTCAAGTGTCACCATGGCCAACGATTCTAGTGCTCAAAACACTGTCCCAGGTCTACTGAAACCTCGTTCCAAACTACACATTGGAGCCTTCAACGTACGCACACTATGTCAAATCGGTCAGCAGGCCTCCTTGGCTAAAACCCTGGGATCTCGTGCCGTTGATGTATGCTGTGTCTCCGAGACACGCCAGTTCTCGTGGACTGGCAGGTGTGAACATAGCATTAAGCATGAGGGTGGAACAAGCACTGTTAGAGTGAATCCGCGTTAACAGTCGTTTACGTGCTGTTCGGCTAAACGGCTCCGTAAGAACTCGGAAGGATAGGGACACACGTCGTTGCCTTTTTGTCGTTTCTGCCTACGCTCCCACTGACTGCAGCTCAGATGAAGTGAAAGATGAATTTTACAGAAAGCTATCTGAACTTCTTCAGAAAGCTAAACGCTCAGACATAGTACTCGTAGGGGGTGACTTTAATGCTCAGATAGGTAGTTTAAACCAAACAGAAAGGCATTTAGGTGGGTATTTTAGTATTCCGACACAGCGAACAGATAATGGTGATCGTCTGCTGCAGCTATGCTCAGACAATCGTTTATTTTTAGCAAACACAAATTTTAAGCATAAGGAGAGACATCGTCTAACATGGCGACCCCCTACACCAAACCAACGATGGACTCAAATAGACCATATTGCCATCAGTCATCGTTGGAGAGGGTCGGTAGAAGATTGTCGCTCATTCTGGAGTACCTGCTTGGACTCCGACCATGCCCTAATACGGGCACGCATCTGCTTGCGCCTCACTGGACGCAAAAAAGCCACATTAAAAAGACCCATTAGAACTGAGTTGAGTAACGAGAAAACCAAAAGTAGGTTCCAGGAACAACTGAGGTCACACTTAGGTAGTTGTGAAGACGAGGCTGACCCAGATGTTGCTTGGAAGGGCATACAATCAGCTGTGGAAACAGCAGTGACATCTATTAGTGACTTAAACCACAGAGTTACAAGGAACCAGTGGATTTCTTCAAGGTCTATCACACTGATGGATTCTCGCAAACTCGTCCCATCAGGTTCTGAACATGATGAAGAGCGACAACAAATCAGATCTAGGTTAAGAAAAAGTCTAAGGAACGACCGTGAGCAGTGGTGGGCAACGAAAGCAAAAGAGATGGAAAAGGCGGCGACTATAGGGAACACAAGACAGCTTTACAGACTAATAAAAGAAACTGGAATTAATAAGTCAAGTGTAAGTGAGATTATTTCGGAAAAAGACGATACTCTCATCTGCTCCCAGTCCAGACGTTTAGAACGATGGGCGGAACATTTTAGAGAACAGTTCAGCTGGCCTTCAGCTACTCTACAACTACCCTCCATTCCCAGACAGTGTGAATGGAACATTGAAGTAGGTCCCCCAACTCTTGCTGAAGTTCAAAAGGCTATAGTTAATCTGAAACGAGGAAGGGCAGCTGGTCCAGATGGATTGGCTCCAGAGGTCTTTAAGGATGGTGGTCCAATTTTAGCGATTAGGTTGACTAATATTTTAGCTAAGATCTGGGAATTAGACGTTATCCCATCTGACTGGTCGCAATCACTTATCGTCCCAATATATAAGAAAGGGTCAAAATCATCCTGTGACAACCACAGAGGGATTAGTTTAACAAACATAGTATCTAAAATACTGGCCTCGATAATTATCAACGCCTAACTAAGACTCGTGAACTACAAACACGAGAGAACCAAGCTGGCTTTAGACCTGGTCGTGGCTGCATCGACCACATATTCACCATTCGTCAGGTTCTAGAACACAGGCATACATATCGGCGTCCGACGATGGTGGTCTTTCTTGACTTAAAAGCAGCATTTGACTCTGTAGACCGCGAGATTCTGTGGCAGTGTCTGTCATTGAAAGGCGTACCTCAGAAGTACATAAACCTTGTGAAGGCTCTTTACTCGAACACTACTAGTCGAG